CTTTTGCAAGGTAGATATTGAAACCACTACACACATCTTTTGTACATGTCCGATGGTTGATAGAGTTTGGAAACAGTGCCTCTCCTGGTTAAATTGTCCTGCACCTCTTCCTAGGCAGATCTTCGACCACTTTTCTTTCCTCCCAGCACCAATTCAAAACGAGTCAGAGGCAGAAACTTGGCATACTGTGTGGCTAGCTACAATGTGGACCTTATGGAGGTACAGGAATAAGTGTATCTTTGTCGGCGGAACATTTGAGCAAGGTAGTATAGTTAGAGACATTCTTATTTTTTGTTGGAGGTGGCTATCCACCCTCAAACCATCCTTTGCCTATTCTTTCTCTCAATGGAGTAGCAATCCTGGGCCATGTATTTGTTTCAACGGGTGTGGATAGGGTAGCAGGTTCTGATTATGAGGAGATAGAAATGTACTAAGTATTTCTCTATAATCCTGGAAAACTCTATACTTTGTATATGAGTTCAGGTACCCCTTGTACCTGTTATATATTATATTAATTTTGCTGTTAAAAAAAAAAAAAAACCCTCTCTTGATTTGCATCACACTTTAACCAGTTATATACACTAATGCATCATCATACTTTACCACCATCAATATCTTTGAATGTGACAAACCAATCTCAGTTAAGTATAATGTGGAAAGCAATTGCTAAATTAATCAAAATTGTGGTCATCATCATTCACATTAGATGAAATAAAGAAAACATTTCCGTCGTTCGATTCTTTTATAGACTATTTGATGAAATCTCTATTAATTCCACAAAAATTTGAAGAACTGACTTTATTTTTCTTGAACTTTAGAAAATTCTTCTTCATATATCCTTCTTTCCGACAATTATAACACATGTTATTGTCCTTATTCTTGTAGTATGACTTATACAAACTTTTATTTTTATTATTATTATTTTACAATTGGACCTTTACCTAAGCTATTACCATACCATATGGCGAGCCTTTTCAGTTTCCAAGACTGTAAATTCATTTTACTTCCTTAATAGACAATAAATTTACGTACCAAAAAAATTATTGTGTTGCAAAATTATATAAAGCTCTTGGTAAAAAAATTAAGATAAAAAACTTAGTCATCATTAATCACTATCAATATTTTTCAAATTAAGAACAATTTACTTAAAATAACCTGTATGTTTATGAATGCAATCTTTATGCATTTGCATGACATATAATTCTTTTTTCAAACGGAGACATATACTTCATATCAGTTAGATGTTCAATACTAAAATATTAAAAATTTCATTCTTTAAATTATATGTTTTAATTTATGATATATTAGTCACAGTAGCCACCAGCCACCTTTTTGCATCGGTTATTTGGAGTGTTCTTTACTATTAGGTCAGAAATTTTGTCATGGAAAACCACGTGTCCACAGCATGCACATTAAAAAATCCACACAAGCAAGCAGGAGCACAAAACAAAGAGCAGAAGCAGAGGGAGGGTTGAGATAAGAAAAGAAGTGTAGGGTTTTGAGTATACGCATTATGCAGAGACAGTGTTTTGCACGCAAAAGAGAGCCTGAAACACTTATTGCCACACACAATATGCGAAAAAGAGCAAAAGGAAGAGGGCACCACAATTTGCAAAACAATGATTGATGATCCTCACCAAGTTTTAAAATGATCACAGGATTACAATGCAAAAGGCAACAACAAGGGACCGTACCACTGCTCTATAGGGCCCCCTTTTCAGCTGGATCCATCCCCATCCACCTTAATTGCTACATACTATTAATTCTCTCAACAAATGCACCTATCTCTTAGCACGTAAATATATATGGCTCCAAATGATGCATGCCGGGGACACCGTGCCCCACGTGTTACTGTGTATTCTCTGCGACTATAAACAATGCCATGTGGGCGTCACCTCTGAATAGCCTATGCCCAAACCCTTCCCACCTCACTTAATTTACTGTATTCTTACATTCATTGTATTCATGCCAACAACTCATTACTTTGAACTCAATCTCTTTAAGTTTAATTTTTAGTTCGAATCTTGTGGATTGAAAAAAGTATGAGGTTGGATTGGATTGGGTGATTCCATTAAAAATGTTAGTTAAGCCTGCGTAGAAATTAATTATTAATAAAGTAAATGAATACTTACACTAATAATATGATTATAAAAAAATCGTAGTATATTTTTATAAACCCATGAAGTACACTAACAAGTTCTTGGTTTGAATATAATCCTAATTAAATTCTTTAACTAAGGTCTCAATTTCAAGTCTAATAAATTGTGAGAAAAAGTATGTGATTAGACAAGTGACCTATTAAAAAGTTATTAGTCAATTTTTTTGACGAAAGTTAATAATAGAAAAATCAATGTATACTTGTATTAATAACATGGTTACTCAAAAAAATTATAGCATCTAAGTATTTTTATAAACTCATGAAACACATTAATAAGTCATTGGTTCGAATGTAAAAAAACTCAAATCATTAAAGTAATATCTTAGGTTCAAGTTTAGTAAATTGGAGACAAAATCTCACTAAAATAGTCAATTAAGTTTTCGGACAATAATTATTTATCGATAAAATTGATTAATACTACACATCAATGACATGTTTACATAACATGATTAAAAACAAATAATAAATAAATAATGAGAAGTTTAATAATATTTAAATTGGTTATAGTAGAAATAGAGTTGATGTACGTATTTAATCAGGGTCACAATCTACTTCCCTAACAATCAATGACTGATGGGTAGGGTGTGGCTAAAATAATATACAAGTTTTGAAGTACATATTCGTTTTCCTATCCATAACATTAATAATGACCCTTTTCAAATGGTCTTTGTCCGAGACAATCACAAGAAGCAGGTGCCTTAAGAATAAGGAAAAAAACAAGCCCTAAATCTAATCGAATCCCACCCAACAGAAAACGCCCTTCTCTCATAAATGAAGCATATGCTGTTTTTTTGGCCAATGCAAAGAGTGCTACTAAATAACCATTCTCTCATCTATATGGCGACAAAGAGAGGCAAAAAATTCAGAACCTAAGTGGGATTCCCTTTCTTCTGACCAACCTTGTGATATATTGGTCCGTCACACTTATTTCTGTTCAGAACTCACTGTCCTATGTACTGTAGAATAATAAATACAAATATAAATAAACATACTTGAAAAAAGGACAACTTGTATTTCATGATTTTCATACTATAGGATGTATTTTGAGGGTAAAACTGGGATCACACATATATAAGGATAAAAGTATATAATGAAGAAACAGGAGTAGGAGAAGAAGTGTAATCGGTGCATTAATGTAGCTAGAAAGAAAGAAAGAAAACGGAATTCTATTTTATTTAAAAAAGGGAAGAGATATATCCAATTTTTCTTTTTGACTTTTTAGAAATCCAAATGGTTAAAGTGGCCACCGCACATAATAAAGAAAAAACAAAAGAAAGTGAGAAATAAAGTTCCTTACACGAAATTATGTGGTTCCACAAAAGGCCAGAAAGCGAAAGTTCTTGTTAAATTCAAAAGTATATATGAATATTTTTCTTTAAGGAGAGAGAAGGATAAAAATAATGCCAGAAAAAGAAGAACCAAACAAAAAAGCAATACAAAGAAATAATTTCGGTACATTATTATTATCATGAGTAGTAGATGGATCATGATTTTAGTGGAATATATGGGTCCAAAATTCCAAATTAACATTAAAAAACGTGGATTTGTTCTGGAGGAGCTGGTGGGTCTATGCTATAATAATAACAAATGGAACATAATAAATAAATTATAGCTGAGTTATGATGATACAAATGAATGAATACTAGTATAAACATATAAATATAGAATGCCAAGGACGGTTGGCTAATGGTCCTTTTCACACTTAGGTGGTGGTTACCAAAATAAAATATGAGCAGCAATCACAAGGCATTACTTTTTTTTTCGTTGATGCTTGCACCCTATATCTTTTAGTAGGTGTTGTTATCACGGAAAGATATGTCAATTATAGGTTTCGTAGGAGAGAGAAAAATTAATTAGGGTAAGCCAAGGCCATGGGAGTTGAATAAAACTAATTAAAATCTCAAAACTTACCTAAGCCAAAATTCTAAAACTGAAAAACAAAATCTTAGATCATGTTGCAAAGGGCACCTGAAACAGAAGTGTGCAAAAAATGTTGTGGAATGATAAGCACACGTGTGTATCACTGCTTATAGATATCAAGACATTTAGGGGACCATTGAATAAGTAGTATTGCATGGAGTAGTAGTCTTGGATATGAAGATGGATTGGACTTTCTAATTGACTCATTCTATGTGTTGTTTACCATCTTACTACTAGAACAAGACAATCATGATGAGAGAAAAAAAAATTAATTAAAATTCATCAAATAATTTTCTACCTTCAATCCTAAAATGATTATGATTATTATCATAATGAAAAGGTCAATTCCTATGATATAGCCCTCTCATCTATATCTATCTATGACAATCACGGATTAAGACATCATTGATTTTATTTTTCTTTTCTTTTCTTTTTTGTTGTTCAAATTTTGGCCTAATTGTTATGTAAGTGCACACCACTGATTGGAGCCTCACCAGGTCAAGACAAAAACGAAATGTCATTTCAAACGAAGAGGAACGATGTGCAAGCTTGCTAGTTTCCTTAATGGCATCATAGGAATATATACTTCCTAGTGAGAAAAAAAAAATGTAATAGTGTTTGAGCTCTCTCATTCGCTGTCTAATAGTAAACCCCACAAAGGAACCATGAATGAAAACAAGGAATTATACGAGTCTAAAATTATAAAAATGAAATGGTCTTAGAATTTTCTATTCTAGCTACAAATTCATTCCTATAACTCCACTATATAGGATAATTGAGTTCTTAACACAAGTACCCCTCCTCCCAAATAATTGAAAAATTATAACAAAAGCATATCAAATGACAAAACTAGTGATGATGAAGTGCCATTTCAACAACAGCAAGCATTAGAATAACGACATTACGAATAATGCTAGCTCAATAGATAATAGAGAGAATGATTAATTGCAGATGAGACAAACAATTAAACAATATTTACACCAAAATTTCGTTGATGGAAAATCGACATAATTAAATATGCAACCTAATTATAAGCCGTAAATAATCACAATTAATTTCCTTATAAAACTAAAAATAGATAGTAATGTAAAAAAATATCGGGAAAAATAAATAAATAATTATGAAAATTAAAATTATTATACGGTGGTCGTAGTAACATTAGCTGTGTCAGTTGTAGAAGTTAAACTAGCACTAGAACCACCTCCACCACCAATAGTTACATCACCACCACCATCGCGGCCACTTGGAGCAGAAACTGCACCGCTACTACTACCACCACCGCCGCTACCCACCGCAGACACGGTCACAGTGGTCCTCTTTCGCTTCTTCTTCTCATAAGGGATCCCTCTGGCCTTGGCCTGACCCTCCCTCACTTCCCTGAGGTAAATCCTCACAGCCCTGGTGCCGAACGGATTAGACTCAGGGCGGCCACCGTTTTCTTCATAGGCCGCCCTGAGCCGTCCGATGAGGGCGTCAAGGCTGCCCCACGCCTGCTTTAACGGGCAGGCGCAGGGTGCAGGAGGATTCGGGTGGCCGAAGTAAGGGCACCCGGATATGTGAACCTTGGTCTTTCCGAACTGGTCGAGGTACTTCAAGAATTCAATGACGTGTGCGCCACTGCAGCGTGCGAGCGTCAATGGGGGCTTGTGGTTCTGCAGGTACTGCAAGAAGGTGTTCCAGTCTCGGCGTTTCTGCGACTCGTAGCGGCTGGGTGGTGCGGGTGATGAGCCTTCGGGTTGTGGCGCTGTGGGTGGTGGGTTAGAGGCTGATGGTGGAGGTTCTGTGGTAGTGGGTTGGGGTGCTCCTCCCCCTGATGCTGAGTCCATGATGAAGCCACTCAAGTAGGTTGAATTTGGGTGTGTGTGTGTGTGTGGTTTTTCTTGTGTTGGGGAAGTGAGGTTTGAATGAGTGTGTGTGTGTTTTGGTTTAGTATAGGAAAGTGAATGAATGAATGAGAGTGATGAGTGATGAGGGTTTGAGTTAGAGTTGGAGGTAGATGTTTTCACGGGAAAGGGTTTTCTGGTTTTTGTTCGATCTCTTTTTCGTGAGAAGGAAAGAAAAGGAGAGAGAGAGAGAGAGGGGAAAGGGGGAAGGGAGCTTTTTATGGCTTGCCTTGGTCTTGGTCTTGATGAGACCTGCTAGAAAAACAGTACAAAAAATTTATAAAAAAAAGTATAATTTAACAGTTAAATTTAATGATCTATACAACAAAATTATTGAATATACGTCCTGATCTTAAAATTATATAAATAGTTCATAAATTATTAAATATTCATCGATTTAGTCCTTAAGTTAATTAATATATATTTTATTGATATTGAAAAATTAATTTAAATAATTTTTAATATTTGAGTGATTATGTAATACGATGTTTAATATTTTAGAAAAAATATATATAATTTTAATAATTTATAAAATATTAAGGAGAGAGAATCGATGATTTATTAAATTAAATAATAAAAGATGTGGATGGAACTTGGAAGTGAGTATACCTTTCACGAAGATAATTTTTTTTATTTTATTTTGAGATTTACGAAGATAATTCTGGTGGAAGCAATTATAATTATTATGGATGATAATATTTGGTTTTTTTTACAAAAAAAATTAGATTAAAATAAAACACCAACTTCTTACTACTAATTATTTTCTATTGTTAGTACTGTGAGCAATAATATGCTCTCACTTTAAATATTTTATGTAGTACCAATAATATATTTTTCCTACTTTGACTAACTTGAGATAAGTTGAATGTTGGCCCGCAAAATAAATTTGGTCTATGGTAAAAAATATACGTTACAAACGTTTTAAGGTTGACTGTTTGACATGAGGAAAAACTGTTACGCACAACATTTGAATATAATTAGTTTTTAATTAATAAAGTTATTCTATTTAATAAAATTATATAACTAAGTTAAAACTTTGCAAAAATTTATAAATTTATCTATTTAATAATTTTTTTTTAATTTAATAGATAAATTGTTAAATGTAGATTATAAGTTATTTGTAGGAGTAACTCTACCAATAATTACTCCTAAAATAATTGAATTCCTTCCAATAAAAAATACACCAATGTATGAGTTATAATATATATATATATATATATATATATATATGTGTGTGTGTTTTTAATTTTCCAAGTTTGAAATAAATATTTTTTGATCTCTCAAATTTAAAATTAATATTTTTATTTCTTGCAATTTAAAAAAAATATATTTTAGTCTCTCATGATCTCTAGTAATATAATAGGCAGTGACAAATTAAGTCATTTGTGCAATATCAACCAAATTTAATATAATATTTTTACTAATAAACAACACTAGTAAGTGAATTTGGTGTGCTAGATTTAGTATAGTAAGTTTTATTTATCAATTTTTTTTATGACATTTGAGCAAAGGACTAAAATAAGATTCTTTTTCAAATTACATTATAATTATTTTTCACTGAGACATTTTTACTCAAATATGATCATTATAAGTGACAAGGTTTTTCCTCTAATTATTTAACATAACTACATATCACAAATATCTTTGTTCTAATTTGACTAGTATAAGATAAGTTTAGTTTAACCACTAAGGTTAGAGTTGTCAAAGTGGGTAATCTATTCTAGCTTACCATAGGTTGGCTAATAGGTGGGTCAACTTAACACCCCTTTTGGTGAGTTTTTTTTTTTTTTTTTTTAATAAAAAAAACTTAACCCAACTCATCACAAATTGATGGATTAAAGGGGTTGGCTTACTTAAATTAAAAAAATTAAAAATTAAAAAATATTGAACTTTATAAAATACATATTATAGTCTTATATTTTAGAGTTGCAACTATATTAATAATAGAATAAAAAATGTATTAAAAAATAGACATCAATCACAAACAATTTAATAAACTTATAATATCAATAATATCAAAGTTGTTACATAAAATATTGGTAATAATATCAAATTGATACTAATTATCATAATTCATAATTAGTATGTATAAAATTTAATCAATAGTATAAATATATAATCATATATTAGTACTAGAGAACCTAAAATATTAAAAAAAAAGTATATTAGGTGGGGCAACCCGTGAGTCATATGTTGACTCACAGTAGATTGAGTTGTAAGTGAATTAAGTTAAATTTTTCTTATAATTAAAATTGACCAAATTTTTCTACCTTAACCTAACTTATTTTGACAACTCTAAATAATGTTAACTCAATGATGAAAATGAAGATAATACGCATATATTAGTTTGCATCTTAAAAAAATAAACTTATTCTATGATAAGAAAAGAAATTTTCACATACTATTTTTTATGAAAATAATCATGTTTGAGATGAATATGATTATTATTGACAACAAAATTTTCTTTATGAATATTTGATAGAATTATATATTGCAAATGAATTTTTCTTTCTACGTTGATTATAATATGAATGTTAAGCCCGCGAAAAAAATTTAGTTTATGATAAGAAAAAAATGGTCACATATATTTTTAAGTTGACAGTACGTAAGAAAAAAAAAAACTGTCACGCACAAAATTTGTAATAAGCTCATGTTAAAAGAAAAATTCTATACAAGTTGTCTTAAAAAGCTTTTTATTTTTGCAATTTCTTCCTTAAAAAAATTTCTTATAATTTTAAGAATTTTTTTTTGCAAAGAGAGTTTAGGCCAGTTTATACTCTTAAAGAAGAAAAAAAAAAGTAATATACGGGAAGGGTCCAATTAAGGGATAGAACCAAATACTCTTTGGACTTATTGTCGATTAAATAAGTTTACAAGTAATTTAGGGCATCTATAATGGAAGCAACTCATTTGAGTTGCTTCATGCATTGAAAAATAAAAAAAGTAATTCCTAGTGTGCCATATCAGTATTAAGCAACTCAAACACAAATTTACTTCAATGGTAAGAAACTTTAAAAAATTTAAATTTTAGAATTTTTTTTCTAATCATTTATGAATCAAATTTAAATTTTTATTAAAAAGAATAATTGCGCTACAGTGAAAGAAAATAAATTACGAGAAAAAATACACAATAAGTAGATATTAAAAATAAAATAAAGCAATAATAAGTACATAAATATTATACGAAATTAATTTTTATCATTATTATTTTCGAAACGTTTTCAAATATGTTCAATAAGATCTGCTTAAAATCTGGTAAGGAACAGTTGCTTGAGGAAACAACTCTCTCTCTCCTTCAAGCAACTCATGTTGCCACGACAGAGTCCTCCAATGGTAAGAAATCGACACTTGAGTTGCTTCATAGGACAAGCAACTCCTATTCGAGTTGCTCTTAGAAACATTTTTTAAGGTAATTAAGTAAATAATGAATATGTTACAGTTCAAATCCAATAAGATTAGTATAAATGATAACATATTAAAATAGATAAAGTTTTTGCTTTTATATTTATTATAATATTAATTACATTAACTTGTCTAAGATTGATGATTGACTTAAGCATTGAATTGTCTTTTGTAGTATCCTCCCTTTTATCTTATCACATAGGTATGCTTAAGGACTATTCACCTTGACATGAAAGTTAAACACAATGTTTTTGTTGAATCCCTCACATAAGTAAAATTAATAGAAGACTATAAAGATATAAAGGACGAATGTTTTGTCAGAGACTTATCAAGCAAGGACTTGAAGTGATAAAATTACCTATGTATCCCTCTATAGGTTAAAGTAACAATAAATTTTTGAGTTTAATGATTATATACTGATAGTAGAATACATTGTCAACTAATTAAGTATTACCAATAAAATAACTTATTTTTATTTATTTATTTCTTATAAATCTAACTAATTTATCATAAATAGTAACTTCTAATTGACTAATAATATAAAAAGTTACACTATATTTTTTGTTGTGATAAAAGAAATAGATTGAAAAATAAAATAGAGAGAAATAAGTGATTAAAAATAGATTAAAAAAAATATGATAAAAATAAGATTATTTAATTTGAGAAAAATAGATAAAAAAAATTAAAGAAAATTAATATTATAAAGTTATTTGATTTAAATGCATATGGAGAAGAAAAAGAACTATTCAAATAAAATGAACTATCCCATCTCATGCTATTCGAATGAAATGAACTATCCCATCTCGTGCTATTTGAATATAGGAATGAAAACCACTTAGAAGAAATGGAGGTGATATCACAAATTATCATAAATCCTAGAGAAAAAGTAAAAACTTGATTTCTCACACTAATATTTTATTCGAATGAAATGAACAAATTCAAATAAAATAACTTACGCGATCCATACAACATAACCTAGTTATTTAAATAAATAAATAAAACTAGTCTTTTTCCACTACACCAAAATTAATTTTTTGTGACAATTAATTTATTATTTAGCAGCCATATAAATGGATACACGGCCTTTATTTAAATGTTGGTAAAAATTTACTAAATTGTCGGAAAAACTTATTTTTTTTAGTGGTAATTCTAGTAGTCATTTTAAAGGTTATTAAAAGTTTTTTTTTCAATTGTCCACTTTACTTTAAATAATTTATTCCTATAATTTTCTTTTCTAAATTCATAACTTATATACTTTTTTTTTATCTCTACTCGATATGAGATTTGTATAATGAGAGTTGTCTTTTTTTTAATATATTTTTTAATTTATTTTTTTAATTGTCTTGTCTCTTAAGAAATGTGAGATTTATAAGGTGAAAGTTGCTCTTTAAATGTTTTATAACACTATTGAATTTGGTAATAATGGATGATTTGATACCAATTTAGAATAGTGAATTAGGAGTCAACCCTATAGAATGAACCTGTAAAGTGATAATTATTACTCACTTATATACTATTTAATTATCTTATCTCTAATCGACGTGGGACTTAAGTTTTTTCTAATAAATAATTATCGCTAATAGTAAATTTTAGTGTAATATAAATACATTTTTAGTGGCTATTATATATTAGTCATTAATATTCTTATATATGACGACAATTAAATTATTGTCATTAAATAATTATTGTTAATAACAAAATTTATTGTAGTGCTCTTTATTATTTTTGTTCCATTTTGTGAAAAAAATTTCAGACGTGAGATTCACATCTATAAATTTCTCTTCTGACACATCTCATATGTAACAAACGACTAAAAAATAAAATATT